CCTTGGAATCAGGGACGAAAACAAGTCGCTAATTTTGGGGGGTTGTTGAAGAATGAAAATTCCAACTTAAATTGAGTAAATTTTCTTTCAACTTCTGGATCTACTGTACCTACAGAATAGATATTTGGAATATCCCTAATTCCAGATTTCTAGTTCCTTTATTATAACCAAAATTTTACTCATATTAATTAGCCTGAAGAATAAAAACAATAAAGACGATGAAGAAAATCTTTAGATTTTGATCAATATAATTGGTCGTAAGAAGTAAATTCACGAGCATTTAAATTGGTCGTAAGAAGTAAATTCACGAGCATTTAAATTGGTCGTAAGAAGTAAAACAACATCCAAGCATAACCAGTATTGCATTTATTTAATGATAGAAAATAGTTTTCTTTCAAGTCAATTAGCAGTGATTCTTCTTTTTCTGCTTTTCTTTTTTCTGCAAAATAAAAGCATCACTGAGCAAGTGCAAATGCCAGGTTCGTAAGATGAAACACTTTTCTTTGATCAAATTCTTCTCCTGCAGCTTCTATAACTTTCATCTTTGTTTTTCAAGGAAGGAAATTTTTAAAAATTTTTACAGGGCAAAATGTCCTTTCGTTTCTTTACAAATGAAGTGGGTGATTCAAGAGCAAGTGCAAATGCCAGATTCGTAAGATGAAACACTTTTCTTTGATCAAATTCTTCTCCTGCAGCTTCTGTAATGTTTTCTGCCATCACAGCAGCTTTTTAGCATTTGATTTATCATAGGGAGACGTTTACAAACAGCAGAGGCAGTGAAGTATACACTCGTATTTTCTAAGAAGCATTGAACATTTCCAGTACTGAATGATTCATGATTTTTTATTTAACTGACTATCTACTTGTAGTTTATTAAAAAGTTCCCACTTTAAATTTTTCTGATCAGTACAGGATATTCATTGTTCAAAACTGTAGGCTCAGTATTGATTGTAAAGTTTCAATTTTCTTATCCGGAAATTCACCTTGCCTATTAAAATAATTAAATTCAACTTAAATCCCGTCAAATAGATACTAAACGGTGCAATGGTGCAATTTAAAATCCAGTTGATACAGGGCTTCATCACAATAGAAAACGGTTACTGGATGGTTCGCTCCACCTTGTGAATTTTTATAAGGTAAATGTCTCTACATTTAAAATCCCAAAATTCCTAACATATAAAATTCACAAGTGTAGTCTTAAAAAATGCAAGTAATCTGTTAAGTTTTTCAATTAAAATTGGATTTTTCAAACGTTGGGAGAGGGGCCTCACGCCCCCACGCCCCCACGCCCCCACGCCCCCTGCTATTTACGTGCAAGCTTGGAATAGAAGAGAACTTAGAGAATATTTGTTCAATGGAAGGTATCACTGATCCTACTGCCCATTCTGAGCATAGGCATAAACTTAGGGGGGGGGGCTCTGGGGCTTCAGCCCCCCCTGACGAAAACCGAGGGGGGCTGAGCCCCCCCCTGGAAAATAAGTAAGTGCTTTACCAATTTTTAAGTTAGTTTGTTATATTATTAGTTTCATGCATAAGATTTGTTGCATTAGATAATTGTGTTTACAGAAAAATAAAGTCTGAAATTATTGCGAACATAAAGTCAGATCCAACTCGAGGCCAAACCTTCAAAGAGGCTGGAAGCATCACAGGTAAGCAACGTGCGATCTTTGCTGAGTGATACTAGCTATGGACAAATTTGTGATAAGATTTGTCAATTGATGAACTTGTTGACACCTTTGTATCATGAAATGCCGCGAGAAAGAGTACATTTTGGGTGCCCAAATAGAACTGATGATCTCAACCTAAAGAAACTGATTATGATTTAAAGATAAACTTTCGATTATTTCATTTGTGTGTTTCTTCTTCCTCGATAATGAAAAATGCACGGAAAAATCACCTTTTAGCCCTTAGCTATTCCACTTTCTATCCTGTGACATCAGCAGCTGCCATTAGGAATTGTCATTAATTCTTTGAGCCCCCTCTCCCCCCACCCTGAAAAAAATGCAAGTCTACGCCTATGATTCTGAGGCCTTCCCGCCGGAGAAATCAGGCAGGAGCGATCTTAAATTTTTTCCCCGTTGGCAGGGATTTAATTTTTCTAATGATCTGGCGGGCGGCTGAATTTTTATCTGTACTAGAGTACCAGTCAATAAACTAATTACTGTATTCTTTGGCTTTTGTGAAGCCCCATATGCTGGGGAAAAATATGAACCATAGTCAAATTACGTGTGTTTATGTCGTTGGTTCTCGGCACGTTCCTTATTTGCTACTTTACTGTATTCATCGCTCTTTAAAATCAATTTGTCAAAACACAAGATTGATGAGCTGTTTAAATCGGACAAACACAAACATATGAGCAGAGCCGTAAAACCAAACTAAAAAGTTAGAAATCAACAAAATAGAAAATCTGTGAATGTCGAAGAATTTCAGAAAGGATGATCAAATTGGAAATTTTCATGCAAAACCTTTATCGAAAAATGATTTTTAAAACAAGAATGAAATTGTCAACATAAATTTTTCCTGGAGAGCTTGGCTCAAAATGGCGTTTGCGTTGAATCCTACCTTGCCCATATGCCTGGCCTGGCGAGAATGTTAGGAGGGGAGAAAAAATGGTGCTGATCCAGTTGCTAAAGCAATTGAAAAGTATGCAAACCATTCCAGCATAAAAACTATTCTAGCACGTTTTCCAGCTGCAGCTGGATTCTTTTTTGACCCAATCACTATATCCAAACTTAAAACTGAATCAAAACTGAATGGAAAAATTGAATCAAAAATTGATCCAGGTTACCAAACAGCAATTAAAGGAAGAATGGTGCTCAGGATATTTACCATTATCAATCATAAGAGTTTTACCATTGTTCTCTCATCATTTGAACCATTTATTTTGGGCTGTTGGTACACAAATCGGAAAGATGGCCATAAATAATGCCCCATTCGTTTTTGAGGTGGTTGAGAAGAAGAACAATGGCCTTCTTCCACTGACTAGCAACATCTTGTTCGTTCAAAAGTTGCAGGCCATTAACTAATGCAAGAAGAAAAAAAAGAGAACTTAGCTTGCCTGTAAGAACCTGAAAATACCTAGATGTGGGTCGTGTAACGTGTGAGAATGAAACTATGCCAACACAAAGTTGATATACCCAAGGCCAATGCACATTTGCACGCTTGTTGCTATAGCCGTATAAAAGACACAATGTAAAGCTTACTCGAGCACTGCTACAATAAACACAAACTACACAATCATGCAATCTGTGCCAAAACTAAAAGCCCAAGGAGCATGGAAAAGGTGTACCCTGTTACACATTAAACGTGATCAGAATTAATTTTAATCAAGCTTACAAATAAGGCTACACTTTTTGGCAATATTCCATCAAAGCTACTCAAGGAGCATGGTTGCGTAGGTTTTGTTGCTTGTTTAAGTAGCTGTATCCTTGTGCATCTATGAACTTTCATAAAAATTTATACTTTTTTTGATAATTAATTAAATTTTATTAAAGAAATTCCTAAAAAAATATACGAGGTCTTTTGATTATGTCTTCTGGATGTCTAGTATAATTATATAAGCCCCCACCTCACATAAGCACCCCCTCGAATAGCTCCTATTCCAAAAAGATAAAAATAAATAACCCCCAGGAGGGCTAATTCAAGGATTTACGGTATCTCGACATCTAGATTTTTCAAGAAGCGTGGTTTCTATTCAATAGCGAGTTATGTTCCCCAGAAAGCGAATCAGATTTGAAAATATAAGAAAACTTGGGCTGAAAACAAAACATTCTAAAGAATATGGAGGCTGGAATGAATTTTTAGTATTCTTAAGAAAAAAGGATGTATAGGCTTACAAATGGTGGCTCTTTGGGCTATCACAAAACAATTTCTCACATAGGAACCATAATTGTTTGGAAGATGAATCATGCCTGTCGTCCAGTCATGCACTAGCCCCCGTTTCAGGGTCATTGCACACGCGCATTATCACTTGAAGCCCTGGCAGGAAGTTCAAGAGTTGTGTGTTGACAGGCCTAGCCATTTTGCGAATACTATTATTAATGCGCATGTGCAATGTCCCTACAACACTGATTGGTTTAAGACGGTATTGTTTCGGAACAAAGGCTTCGTCTCCCGAACAAGTAAGAAACGGTTGGGCCGGTTGGTGCCGGTTGAGGCCAACTAATCAGGACTTACGATTTTAGTAAAATCGTATTGTAAATTTTATTTGATAGAAAAAACTGTTTACAATGAAAAGAAATATGCAGTCAATTATTAATTAAAACATTTTTCTATTTACTTTGCTTTTATATTCCCTTTATACAGTAGCACAAAAATCGAATACCAATCCACTGTTCCTAGCATGTTAGGCCCTATTTACTTTAACATGCAGTCAATTATTAATTCAAACATTTTTCTATTTACTTTGCTTTTATTTTCCCTTTATACAGTAGCACAAAAATCGAATACCAATCCACTGTTCCTAGCATGTTAGGCCCTATTTACTTTAACATGCATACAAGTATAATAGGTTGCAAGTTATTAATCATATAACACAATGCGTTCCTACAGAATAGTTGGTCACATGTTGAAGAAGACAATCGATTTTTGTGCTACTGTATAAAGGGAATATAAAAGCAAATTACTAAGTATTTCGTCTGTGTTTTGATTTGTACTTGGTCACCCTTTGCCATTATGTGACGTTTATACTCTGATGAGTGTCGGAATAAAAGCATACTAAACTTTGGCTTTCAATGCTTTTACAAAGTTCTATGTCTCTTGTATTTAATCTGAGTATGCATACTTAATTAGCAAACATTCAAGTTCCATACTCCCCTTTATACTCTGATATTATATATTCCCTTTTCATGCACTTATATTTATACCTTAGTTATATGGATTAATGAACTTGTAACAAATAATGTCTATTGAAAGAGTGGTTTGGAAAATGTTTGGACTCTTGGCCTTGTTCAAATAGAAACATGAGGGAATTCAAACTTTTCTAATCGGTTTAAAATCACTGCTAGACAAATATACTGAAATAATGGTGCAAATCTTAATACAAATTACTACATGAGATTAGCCAATGAATATAGTTCTGTATCAAAACAATGTCCAAATTTGGTATAAAGCCACTAAAATATCTTCTACCTTGAAAAATATCCACATCGATATAAATCAGAGATTAAAAACACATGAACTTATCAACAACGGCTGCCAACTACACGTGTTGTGAAGTAGTCATAGTTACGGTTACGGCTCTTGCGTAATTAGTGAGTTCGAGTTAGAAAATAGTCGCAAAGCATGCCGGTTGCACAAAACCTTCAAAGTTCTCTATTGTAAAGTACTAGGGACTATGTTTTTGATATAAACCTCAGAGGTAGAAGATAACGAGGTGAATCTGATAAAAAAACTAAAGAATGATATCACTTCCGTTACCCTCTAAAAGGTTTTCAGAAAGGTCACCATTACGGGAATATGCACCAAATTGTGAGCATGAGGTTTCACAAAGTCTAGAATTGCAGATTTTTTTTAAAATCTCCCAAAACAATCGACCAAACAACAGCACAAACAGCAGGGAGTTGAGGGAGACTAGCATAACGCCAAGTCCCCACTTGTCTTTGCTTTGCTCGAGAATTTCGTCATCACCAATCGCACTGTTTTGTGTTACACCATAGCACAGATTCACCGCTACAATCACTAGAGCCAGTAACTGCATCAAGTTGTCAAACTTGTCTTTCATCGGCCACATCCGAGCATGAGCAACAGCGAACAAAATGCTTAAGATTATCAGCCCAAACAACCCTATCTTTATGTTGTGCAGGACCAAAGCACTTGCAATGCTGATGATCAGTTTTCGAACCATTTCAGTCACCTCCCAGTACCAGCTCTCCGGCTTGTAGTTGCCGTAGAAGAGTCTAAGCGCCACGGCTACAACAGACTCCTCCGCAGCTGCCTCCTCGCCATCATCGTTAATTGACCCGGCGGGCTGCTGCCGCTGTGCATCATCAGTGTGGTTCTTTTTGGGAGCTAACCGCCAGAGAAGAAGAAACAGCAGCAAAGGAAAGCCAAGGGGCAAAATTAAGGCCGCGTATGCAGCATTGGTTACAATGACGTCATCACTCGTGCCTGATGTACAGCTAACACGGTAATCCGATCGCAGGTACGAGACTCTGTGCAAGCACTGCCCGTCCTTTTCCGATGTACAGAATGCATGGCAGCTGGCGGGTTGGATTTGGAATATCTTGCTTGATGTCAAGGGGTAGGTCGCGAAAAGGAACAGAAATATGGCCTCAAGGCATTGCTGAACGTTCTCCCTAAGCTTCTTTCTGAACTCCACTGTATCCCTAACACAACAGTAAGAGCAAAGTGATTTGATTGCTGTGTAAATAAAAATTATGAAGGGAACAGTCGCGTTGGCAATGATGGCAAACCAGAATTCCTTGATGGCGTCCATGCGCCATTCTCGCTTTATGCAATGCAAAGCAGGTATATGGAAGATCGAGAACTGAATAAATTCAAAAACTCTGACAGCTTTTGTAAGATTTCCAGGCCAATGAATGTTTGGAAGAGCGTGTATGATGCCAACTAGCACTTGATAAAAACCAATGAGGATTTTCAATGTTGACAGAATTAAATCAGCAAATGTTTTGCTATCGTTTCCTGCGAGTTTCACTTTATCAACTTTGGACATTAACCAGCAAATAAAAACAAACGCCAAAAAGAATGCAACACACTGCACCGCTGCAATGACTGAAGAGGGACATTTAGTGCATTTATCAAAGTTTTTCATGTATCCCCCCTGACAAACTGCACACAATATTCCAGTGTAGCCTCGCTTACAATCAGCCTCTATGCCACCAAGGCAGGAGCCTTGAAGCGGGCATTTGTGTGCAGTGGGCATGTGACAATCGTACTTGATTGTAGCTCGGTCATATGTATCGTTCTTTGTATCCAGATTCTGCATAAACGCCTTGTACAAAATCTTGCAAGATGTATTTGATTCAGATCGCATTGTTTGCCACGACATCCAATAGCCTTTAGTCAATTCCTTGTAATCTGTTTGACAGGAAAACCCTTCTTGGGTACATTTTGTGCATCCTTGAAAACGACGACTTCTTGCAAAACCAGGCAAACATTTACACGCGCGATAAGCTGCAGAGCTGTTTGTATTTGTCCCAAAAGGGCATGTGAGACATTGCAATGGACTTTTGCCTGGTGCTTTATCTAGTGACACAAACTGGCCTAGTGGACAGGGCTTGCATGCAATGGCTGCCATTTCGTCCTGATAGAAAGCCCCAGCAGGGCAAGCAATACAGCCATCATTGCAGTAGTAGCCAACTGGACATGGCTTGCAGTCAAAACTGTATTTCTCTATTTTACTTTTGAAACATTGAAAGCCATCATTTTTCAAAAATCCTTGTGATGCTTTTATTACCAGTTTTCTAGTTGGGCTGCAAATCACTTTAGGCTTTATATCAAAATGGTTTGGAACTTCGTCGAGATTGTTACATGATATGTAAATCTGCGAACCGTTCGGCATCTTCTGAAAGTCTGAGCTTCTAATAGACTTCAACTTGTTTCCAAACAATAAGAGTTGGTAAGGGGGTCTTTTCACATCCTGAAAGATGCCATCGACGGTGCTCAGTTCGTTGGCAAACAGGAACAGTTTATTCATGGATAAACATCTGAAAATGCCTTTTGGCAGGCTCTTGAGTCGATTTCGATGAAGAAACAGCTCTCCAATGGATTCAAAACCTTCAAACGCATCAACCGCAATACTCTTAATGTTATTACTTTGCAAATAAATGCCAGATACTTTCTTTAGCAACTTAGGAAAAGCAGTATTTTCAATGTTTTCGATTTGGTTGTGTGATAGATCTAGATAGAAGACTCCCATTCCTGACAAGTTGTACGACGTGATATTGTTGAATGACAAATCTAGATAGGCAATGAAACTTATATTTAAATTCATTGCCACTCTAAGTGAGTTGCTTTTCAAGTCAAGATCAGTCAGGCTTGTAATGCCATTAAGATCTGGCACTGCCTTTAAACAGTTTTCTTTTATAATGATGCTGTTTAGTTTTCTGTTGCGTTGAAATAGTTTATTTGGCAAAAAAGATAATTTGTTTCCAGTCAAATCAAGTCTCTTAAGATCCTTAAGCTGATCAAATGACCCCTTGGCAATGCTTAGCAAACCCATCTGTATCAGAATAAGAAACCGGAGATTCTTCAATGTATTCAAATCATTCCTTTCAATTTTCTGGAGAATATTACTTTGAAGGTTTAAGTTGATGACGGATCTGGGAAAGATCGAAAACTTTCCATCTAGGATAATTTTATTGTAGTTTAAAAATATGGCAATGAGGTTAGGTGCTCGCTCGTCTCTGAAGAATTCCTCCACTGCTTGAACAGATAACTGGTTACCCGACATGTCAATTTTTCGGAGGCTCTTTGGAAGAATGAACGGATTCTTTAAAGAGCAATCTCGTAAGATTAGCGTTTTTAGCTGTGTAAATCGAGCAAAGGAATTGTTTTGGAACTTTATTGATGGGTTTTTAGAAAGATCAAGATAGCGAATGGATGATGGAATCTCTGATGGTAGTGTCTTTAGGCCAGCACCAATACACTGGACAGTAATTTGAGAACACTTGCAACGTTTTGGGCACTGATATCCCAATGTGCCAAGATGGGAAATATACAGCCATGTCACCAGCAGCAAAGTCAATCTCAAACTCTCCATCTTGATTTGACTTCTCAGATTCTTTTTTCGGACGTTTTTTTTCTATACAGGATCTGTCTGAAACGATATCAAACAGGAACTCATTCAGAATCATCCATGAATTTTCAATTGAAAATTACATATTCATTTGCAGCAGCGGCGTGGCCAGGGTGGAAAAAATTAGAGGGACAAAAGCCAGCCCAACATGGAGGTTTACAGTTTTGCAGACCGCACTCTTAAGACATTGAGAAAATGCCCCACTTTGTAAATTTGTTTTAACTTAACTATGTCGTTTGTACGTAGCAGTTTTTGGTTAATCTATCACAATGTCAGCCATATATAGCTTTTTGTGGCTGGCCCTTAAAATTCTAAAACTGTCTATTACCTTTAAAATTTCTCTTACGTCTATTTTTTGAATTGTGCAAAGCGAGAAAGCTCTACGTGTGAAAACTGATTTTCCGAAGATGCAAGTTCATTCTCCAAGGAACAACCGTTAAAATCCTTGACATTCATTTCAATACCTAGTTTTTAAGAATACCAAACTCTATAGATATTAACAAAGGGCTTTGCAGTTTCTTGTGACCCAATCAAAACGATCTATGATGCTTTCTTTGTTCATTTGTTGAAATTAAAATGCTTCTATAATTGTCTGTTAATAGCACGTGCCCTGTAAGAAATTGTATGCTATATAAGGACATCTTTACCATATTTGACTAGACAATAGTTAGACATTGTAGAGTCGGACATAACGTAATTTGAAATAGCCTTTGTAGACCAGGCAGACAATAGGGGAACGGTCGCCCGAGAAATTTATGGGAACAAGTACTTCTGGTAAATTCGAAGTTGCAGATTTTATTGTATATCGATGCTATACGGGGATTTCGGGGGGCCATCAGCCTCTTTTTCGTATTTGAAATCTCGTTTTTGAGTATTCAAAGGTAATCAGTGAGAAAACAGTTTAAATAGAAAAGAGTTATAAACTTAAGGACGATTAAGCATATTTCTTGCGCAAAGCTCGAAGAGCGCATGCGTGTATCAGATCGTTAACCTGGGTTGAACCGCAAATTCATTGTCAAAGTTGTTTTGGAACGCTTAGGGGAGAAGTCTTTCAATACGAAGCGAAATATTTGGACAATGAATGAACAAAGACCGAGAGTGGTTCACTGTTTGGTGACAACGAAGTCATGACATCGATCAAAATATGGGCGGACGAAGGGATCAAACAACATCTAGATTTTTGTACAAGATAACGGTCTATATTGGAGATGATTTGAAGAAGACTGCAGGGGGAAGGTGAATATATTCATACCAGATCACAGCGAATTCACTCCCAATTCTCATTTTTGCCGTCCGCCATCTTGAAAGATGCAAATTATTGCAGTTCACAAGGAAGTGCATGCGTGGCGAAAGTTACACGGGTTCGAACCAACTTTGTAAAATAACCCAGGTTAAAAGTTTTAATGTAAACAGGGCTTTAGAAGAAGTAAATTAATACGGTTACCTAGGCCATCTACTAATATCCGTAAACAAAACAAATTAGAAAATTGACAGAAGAATAGCTGCAGGAGGGCAACGATTTGGGTAATATGTCGATTAAAGAGAAAATATCAATGGTTAAGATTTGAAGAAAAGAGTAATGGATGTAGTCATAATACTAGCAACAATATTCGGCGTAAAAACATGGTAATTGGCACCAATTAGCAGTGGCACAGAAAAGCATGGAAAGAGCAATGTTTAACACCACTTTAACAAGTGGACAAATGAAAGCTTAAGATCGCAAACAAGATAGTTTGACAATCTAGAAAACTCAGAAAAATATTAATGGCAAATGGGCAAGCCATTTAGCCAAATTGACCGTGAAAGTGGAATGAGAAGATACCAATTTCAATATGAGGATGTGAAAGATATAAAATTGGACAAAATGATGATCTGCGGAACATCGCAAACATGTTGCTAGAATGCGATGCATGAAGTATTACGGAAACAGTAAAATGTTTAATGCAGAGATGAGTTAGAAAGCAGAAAATGCAATAAAAAGAGTCAATGAAACGCTGCTTTTTACTTTTGTGCTATATTACCTGCATGGGCGAAAATACCGGGGAGGTGTGGGGGGGGGGTGACACCCCCCTAATCTTAAAAATAGCCGATTTCGCAGGGCAATCAAAGATTTCGCAGGGCGCCAAGAAGAGCTTTATTACCACGCAGAAACGCCACCTCTGAAGTTCGTAAAGGGCCGTTTACGAATTTTGAAATGGAAATATTATATTTGTTATGAACCTCCCTTCCTGACATTGCATTTTAGAGAGCGGAACAGGTATATCAGGTAGAGCTCCGTTATTAGCAGAGCGAAAGCATTCCTTACCGAAAGTAATAGCCAATGGATGCAATGATTGATGCATAAGTTTATGAGGGCAAGGTTGAGTCCATACAAAATAATTTAAGTTGTAAATTATTTTCATGACAGGTACGGCGCTACTGGGGGAATAGAGGGCTGAGGCCCCCACTTTGGTCAAGATAAAAATTTTTTTATTATAACTTTTTAACAACTTTCTATAACTTTTTAACAGTGTATGAAATAAAAAGAGAATAAACGTTTAAGATGCTGATTTTGTTTGATCTAATTGCTAACTTACTCACGTATATTTCTATTATTTTCTTTTATTTGCATTAATTCAGTAAATCACTTTCTGTATCATTGCAATGTTTTCATTTTGGAAGTGTAAACATGGCCTTCTCGAGATAAAAAACTGCACATTGCTGTCCAGGAAAATAAAATTCTCCCAATCAAAACAACATTGCTCTGTCATTCACAACTACGTGCAATCTGAAACGAAAGGTTACCATTTCTTTCCTTCCACAACGTTTATCACTAGAAATTTAGCATGACATCCCCCCTCCCTATTTTTCCAATAAACAATAATCAGTTTTTAGCAGAATATTATTTTGATAAATTCTAGTCTGGGAGATGCTTTTGAGCCCTTTTACAAGGGATAATTTCAAAAATTTGCTTCACGTCGGACCCAACCGTGGTGGGTCCTCCTACCTCACTAAACATTATATGCCATGAAATACAAGCTTTATTACGAAAGGAAAATCAAATTTGACATTTAATTTACGCTCACCTAAAAAAAGATATTTTATAGGCAATGAAGTTTTTTTATTGCTTAGAAGTTTGTTCTTGGTAAAGACAAATTTACACTTGTAAAGCTTTCACTAGTAACCTATAGACAAACTTTTGCTACGAGGTCTGAAGGGCACCACTCATTTTCGCAGGGCAGAAACCCTTTTCACCCCCCAAACCTGTTGGCCAAGTTACGCCCCTGATTACCTGAAGGCTTGTTTACATGAAGTGGGCTAAATTTCATTTGTGAGATCGTATTGGCAAGTGTTTACACGAGGACACAATTTATCACACTCAGGTGGGATGGTATTATATTTGCAAATTGTAGATGAGGTTTTTTAGTTTTTGGGCTACAATAACGAACATTGGATTTCCTCAACAATGGTGGATAACAATTCGATTCTTTTTCTGATTGTTAAACTCTACGGTTATCGGATTTGTACCTCATTTCACGGAATTTTGTCTTTGTATACGAACTATCAAAAGTACGCACAGCTTTTTTATATGGAATTCTTTTGGAATTCCGTTCCTGCCCGTTCGTATGGCATTATGCGCCAACTTGATTTGACAGTTTAGTTTAGTGCCAACTTCCTCCACGCAAGCGCATTGATTTTCAGTGAGTCGGCTAGCCTAGTTGCATTAAATGGATAATTTCCATCCCACCTGCCACGGAACTGCCTTTCTCGCGGATCTCACATGAGCAGGCTGGGGCTGGCCCACTCTTAATGTAAACGAAAATAAAGAGAACAAAGGAAATGATATAAAGCATCCCATTGGAGTTATCAAGCCCATACCATGGTGGTAGAATGAAGAAGTGGCAAAAGTTATTAAGGAGAAGAATCAGGCTAAAAAGGAGGATTATAAAGGAAGAAATCAGATGAATAAAGAAAGAATCAAAGCAGCAAACAAAGCGGCAAAGAAAGCGGCAAAGAAAGCGGGGGCCACTGCTAGAGCAGAAGCGAGAAAAGAAATGTACGAAGAGCTAGAGACAGTAGAAGGGCAGAAGAAGATTTATAGAATTGCAAAGACAAGAGACAGAAAAACAAAGAATCAAACACACATAAGACATACAAAAGATGAAAATGGGAATGTATTGTACAATGATGAAGGTATCACGAGCAGATGGAGAAATTACTTTGAAGGTCTTCTAAATGAAGAAACCCCAAGACTACCAAGGGGAGAAGGAATGCCAAATGAAAGGCAAACAGAGCACATAAGTCGGGGGAAGTAGTTAGAGGAATGAAAGCAATGAAGATGAATAAAGCAGCAGGGCCAGGTACCACACCGATCGAAGTGTGGAAATATCTTGGTGATGTTGGTATAGACATACTTTGGGGTCTGATGAGAAAGATCTTCTCGCAGGAGGAAATGCCATGTAAATGGAGAAAGAGCTCTATGTACAAAGAAACGATCGTTCAGAATCATCCATGAATTTTCAATTGAAGATTAAATATTAATTTGGAGCAGGTATTCCAACAGTCATGCTTTGTGAAATTAGAATTGACAACTTGATTTTCCTGGAAACTTTGGAAAGGAAAATGTTTTTTGTTAATTTTAAAGTCAATAGTTGTGAACGAAATGTTTGATAAAATTGAAAAAAATTCATGGTTTCGAAAAATTCAGTGGAATTAATTTTTTTGGTATCCCCGCTTAACCGAAAATAAATCCCGCCGAACTTTTTGGGTCTTAATTTACGTCTTTTTTCTTCATTTTTAAGGGCCTTTATAGGTTCATTATTTTGCATCCATAGCTATTTCGTTTATTAGGAAACCCTATTGAATCATGTTATTTCTAACTGGATCATTTCACAACAAAGATCCCACTCCAGTTGGGTAGGGATAAATATTTTTCCCAAGGCTTCAACAATTCAGCATTCCTTGTTCTTAAGCACACCCTTGTTCTTAAGTTCTTCAGGTTTAAACAACCTAGTGTTTTGCTTAATGGTGAGATGATGAAAATCTTGAATGGGCAAGCCAGGGAACTTATCATTTCCATAATCATACCAGGGGCGGATCCAGCCAAAATTCTGACTTATGCAATGCAAAGGTTGTCAGAAAGAGAAGCCTTTTGTGTTGGAAACGCCCAAACTTTTATCAATAAAATTTGTATCTCTGATATTGAAAAGGGGGTTCAAGAAAGGAATTCTAAGGGAACGACTCGCAAACTAAATTTATCTGCAATTCGAAGGAAAGAGGTATTGAGAATAATTACTCCGGTAGGATTCGAGCCAGGGCCCTCCACTTGGTCAAACACAATGGTCATATCACAAGACCACAAAACAGACGTTCCTTCCTTAGCAGATTAGCAGGGGGTGAAGCAGCGATAGTCAATTGCCATCTCATTGGCTGTAACAGACAATTGCAGAGGTCAACTTTGATTCCTATTGGTTGGCTGAACCGCTGCAGAGGCAAGCTCGGCTTCTGATTTGCTAAATCAAATCACACCTATGCTCCCGCCAAAGACTGCAGAGGTGAAGTACACTCTGATTGGCTTACAAGACGTTTGCAGAGGTCAAGCCAGCGGTGATTGGCGCTCGAGGGACAAACAAGTTTCTGGATTCAGAAAATACGGACCAGATAAATGCCTAGAATCGCCATTCGACTATTCTGTACAGAGGCCGAAAGGTAGTCAGCAAAATATATGCCCTGCTGTCTTCTGCATGTTGTTGGTATCAACGCGGGCGGATCTAGGGCGGACGTTGCTGAAGAATTTGCCAAAGAAACTATTGATTAAAAGTTTTGATAGTTTCTATTTTATTTTGTTGTTGTGAAAGTCTGACTTATGCTTCTGCATAGGTTGCTGTAGTCTGGATCCGCCTCTGCATACACAGGTTTAATTTCTGGAAGCTGTCTTTTGAATTTTTTGCATTACCATAGATGTTATTTGTTTTCTTCATGTAATAGGATCCCGTCCTAAAAGTTACAAAGTGGAGGGGCTGTTCTGCATGCAATCTGCTCGCAATCTGCACGCTACTTACTTCTATAAACCACACTCAAGACCACACATTCAGAAGGCTAAAAGAAATTGTTCATTCATGGAAAATCAAAGTGGTTAGTTCACCTTTTCCATTCGCTCGGGAATTATTCTTCAGTTTTATTTGTCAACTGAACACGGTGCAGGGGCGGGAGATCCAGGGTCTGAATCATGCATGATTCCAATCTGGCCATAAACACAAGCCAAATCAATGTACACAATTTCACAACATAACCACAATTTCTAAATAAATATATTGTATGATTGCAAATCTTGATTACAAACCTTTCCACACGAACAAGTACCACGTAGCATCAGTTTGCAGAGAAGCATTGGCGGATTCAAAGTCTCTACGATATTTTTGCTTTGCAAAGTAAACACGAAAACGAAAGGTAATTCCCTAAAAGACAAGAGAACCAACAACCATGAAAGGGAAACTATTTGGAATAATAATTGGATAGAAGGACTATGAACACATTGACAGAAAACAATAAAGATATTAGACACGCTGAGTAGACACTTCATAAAAAAGAACAATAAGCTTCGTAATGAACTAATTATAGAAATGTTGCGTCATTCCTTTGTAATTCGTAGAGCGGCATTCCTTTGTAACTGCTTAACCTATTACACTTTTTTTATAAGAACCAGTAAATTTAAGTTCAGGCTGACTGTTCCTAATTTTTTCGAAAATCCGAGGCTGGATTGTTCTTAATTTGTTCTTAAATTAAGAAAGTGTAAGCAGTGCTCTAAGGAGGTGTTCAGGCCTCATTTGCCAACAAAGTGAATGAGACAGCCTTAATTTGCTAACAAATTCGAATATTAACCGAAAAAGCACCCACACATGGCTAAAAATCCTCGATTTTGAGAAAAAACGTTGTTCAAAATTGCATTTTGCAGAATCTCAGCCTCAGCTTGTTCTTAATTTGTTCTTAACTTTTGACCAGTTTTGAGGCTCGTGTTCTTATAAAATTGTTCTTATAAAAAAAGAGTGTAACTCGCGTGATTTCTTGTTTATTCTCGAGCTTTCCTTGCAAAATGGTATAAAACAAGCATTGGTACGATTAGTTAGTTAGTTCGTTAGTCAGTCTTTACGCTTTTCGACGATAGACGATTATTATAAAAGACTTATTAGGGCTCTCATAATCGGAGAGTCGTTTTTCTTTGATCAACCTTCGGATCAATAATATTTCCATCATATTTTGATCACTTCCACGGGTCACTTCCACAGTCTGCCCCATCGATACGTTTTTGCTTGCTTAACGACACGCTTAAATCTGTGATTTATGGTAAGATAATCAATCTGGTTCCTTGTTAGGTGACCAGGACTTTTCCATGTGTATACTCCCCATGGATGTTCTTTAAACCAGGTATTCGCTATTACCATGCCATTCATCTCACACCATTGTACCCATCTGTCTCCATGCTCATTTCTTGCCCCAATTCCATACTGCCCTACTGTTTTACCATCTTTTCCACTACCAATTTTTGCATTCAGATCGCCCATGACAATATTGATTTCATCTGATTTACATTGGGCCTTTGTTTTCTCATTCGTATAAGTTATCAATCTCATCTTCTGAACTTTCTGTAGTAGGCGCGTATGCCACTATTATTGATATATTAAAAGTCTGACCATGCAACTTGACAAGGAGAACTCACTCACTAACGGCCCAGTATCCCATCAATCATTTTGAAATATTGCTACCATTAAAAGTCCTACACCTTTTTAATGATTGTCCTCACAGGGCCGCCGGGGCCAGGGGGCCACGGGGGCACAGGCCCCCCTGTTTGCAAAAAGTATAAACAAGTGCCCCTTTCGATAAATAGATTGCGTGTATTTTTTCAATGAAATTTCTAAATTTCTAAATTTCTTAATTACCATGAAATCTGTACCATTTCTGGCACTTACTAATGTTTCGAAAAAAAGATATTTGTGCCCCCCTGTTGAAACCTGCGTCCGGCGGCCCTGCCTCACCTGCATAAATCATTCTATAGCCATCTATCATGAAGTCCCCATTATTTGGCCATTACCTAAAATATTGATGTTAAGTCTCATCATCTCTTCTTTCACGTTTTTCAACTTCCCACTTTGATACAGGGCTCTTACATTCCACGTTCCCACTCTGATAGAATTCCTGTTGCGTACAGTAGCTTGTTGAGGAACCTGCAGTGGAGATTGACAGGCCCCCTTCATTCCGTTGTCTTTCTTCTTTGAATTGTGACTTTTCATGATTAAATCTTAGAAGGAATAGCGAAGTGATCCATGGCAATTTATGTATATATAGTTAATAGTTTTAACCTGAGTAAATAAATAAAAATTAAAAAATGATGACCCGAGAAACATGATGGAAATATTTGATTTCCAAAAAGTATTTCTCTTTAACTTCATGCTTATCTATATGAAAATATAGACAAGTATAATACTAAGGCATACCCCCCCTCTTTAGGAATTGCGCCCTCCGTCTGGTTTCGTCTACGGAAGAGCTCCTTCGGCTTTCGCGACGTTCTTCCATTGATTGGCAGGTTTTCTAAGAAGTGCAACAGCAACCGACGCACCGATAGCAGAAGACAAAAAATGGCGGACGACACGAATGTGTCTTCAACACAAAAGATAGTTCGAATTACCCAAGAAGAACTAGAGCAGTCCACGAACCTTGGTAGTCCAGAGCATGTTCATCTAAACAATAAATCAAGGAAACATTCAAATAGCCGTGCAGAGGCAAGGAAAGAGAGCAGTGATTCGCCAAGTTCATCTGACGGACAATTGAAATCCAATGAAAATGGGAAATGGAGTGGCGAAAGCAAGGGTTTCCAGGTGCAAAACGAGGACAAGAATGATATGTTTAATGTCAAGGAAGCTAGTAATAGTGGTAGCGTGGAAAAATGCGATGAAAAGCAAGTCTTGGGAACCAAAAACGTGGACACGGCTAAAATGAGGAAACCGCGAGTTCGGGAAGGTTATGGATTGTATCAGGTGAAAAAGGGGAAGTTCTCGGATAAAATGAAGATATCAGAAGTTATGACCTCACCAAAAGAAAAAGTTAAGCCTGGAGAAAATCAGCTAAAAGACGGGCCAAAGAAGAAGAGTCCCACCAAGGGAAATGTAAGCAGCATTAGGAATGAAAATGCAGCAGAAAGTGAACAGAAATCTGGAAAGTCAGAGCGGTCGTCTTTGGATGGAGATAATGAAGCCATCAGTGGTTATAACAGAGAAGAGTCTGCTAAAAGTAGGAGCCTTTCTGCAAATATTCAGGTGAACAAAAAAGATTTTCACGAGGGAAACACTGTTACGAACACTTTACATTCTAAAGAGAAGAAATTTGTGAAAGAAGACTGGGATCTTTCTCACTCTTCTCATCAAGTTGCTAGCAAAGCTGAAGAGGAAAAGGAAGATTCAAAGAGACCTATCAGTGCAGATCAACCAAATATACCAGTTATGGAAACTAAAATGCCTAACAAAGATGAAAAGACCTCTGGGGAAGCAAACAGTAGGAACGATAGTTTAAAAAGAAGATTAACTGATTGTGAGAAAAAAGGGGAAGATGTAATTGACATACAAGAAGGTAAAAATGCAAAAGATGCATGTGCCCATTCCAAGGAGAGCAAAAACAACACGAGCTTAGGGCAGCAAAAAATTGCATCAAAAGAGCAAAAGCCACATACTGTAAAAGGCATTGGGAGAGGAAAAGTGTTGTTAAAGCAGACATCAGGCAAAGGGAAAGAGCGTTTGAAAGATAGAAAAAAGCCCCCATTTAGAAGAAAAAAGTCTGTTGAAAAACAAACAGAGGATTCTAAGTTTAATGAAGCTGGAAATGAAAGTAATGTTGATCCTAAAAATCCCAAAGATGGTGTGTTTGCAAATGACTCTGGAAATAGAACTAAAGAAAACACATTAAAGGAAGTGAAAGGAAAGGCAACTTTTTCGGATACGGATAAGGAAATTTGTGATCAAGAAAGTCTTGAAGCATCTTCAGATAATACAAACAAAAAAGCCGGTATCATAATTTTACCATCTCCAGGTCTTTTAGAGCAAGCTGAGGCTCAGAGGGATGTCCAGAAAGCAGAAAAAGATAATGAACAAATTGAAACTTCAAAAGGCTTCCAAAAGCTTCAAAGACCTGCAGGATTTGACCCGAAGAAACCTAGAGGGAAAGCGAAGATTATAAATGAGAAACAAAAGGAAACTATTTCTGAAAAAGAGAATCTGACGATTTCATCATCAGATGAGAAAGTATGGTCTCGCATAAAGTCTGAATGTAACAAGATGAAAGGAAAATTAGCAAAGAGCTTTCTTGAATTAGAGGACATTGAAGAAATTTTGGAACTGTCTACATTACTTCAAGACTTGTACAAAGAGCTTATTGTCAAGCACCAGGATTTTTCATTTGAAAATGATGTTGAGAGCTCTTTATGGAAGAATACTTTTCATAATGTCATCACAAAAATAAGAGAGTTATTAGATGAAAAACCAAATGGCCGTGACATTAATGAAATTGTTCAGTTTTATTGGAATTTTCTTCAGGATGGGGATGATTTCTTGCAAGAGATGCTTTTGTCCCTGCAGGAGGAATGGAAATTTGATTTAGATGCTTTTGTGAAAAATCCTTTGAAAATGGTTGGTTGCAAAAAGCAAGTGAGTTTTATCATAAACAGTTTTTCAAATGATTAATCAAATGGCTCTTATACTTTTTGAATTTAAGATTGCAGAAGGTATATTTGTACTCTGGAGAGTGATGGATGAAAATTACTTTGGCAGGCTATGTTCTGCTATTTCATGTCAACTTCAAATTTTCTGTACCAAAGTTTATTTGGACATTAAATATGTAAAACCTGATAATTATGGCATATTTATTATGATATGATATAAGGTAGAAGTGCAGGATAGGCTGTCGTCAGGGTCGTTTAAATCTTGCAATGAGTAGTACTATGAACAAGGTAATAGTCAGGAATACCAAGACGTCTAGACAGCAAAAAGACATCTAGAATCCAATACATTTTAAAATCTAATTTCCAAATAGGTTAAATGTTTAAGTAATATTTTGGCCCTAAATTCAGGGTTTCATAAAAAATATTTGTTATTGTTTATTAAATATTTTGCAGGTTAAATATGCCATCAGAAGTTGCCATTTGATCTTGTTAAATTTGGGTGACCTAGAGAGATATATCACAGATTTGCAGCAAGATTTAAATTATTCAAAAGCCAATGAAAATTACCTGAAAGCACAGTTGCTGGCACCAAAAAATGGCAAGTCGTACAACCAACTAGCTGTTGTTGCTGTTAAGAGCAAGAAGAAACTTGATGCTGTTTACTATTACATAAGAAGTTTGGAGACAAGCAAGCCAATAGAATCAGCTAGAGAGCGACTCCTAGGAATATTTCATGAAATCAAGAAAAAGGTAGTTAATCTGTCCATCTGTTTTATATTGTTGAAAGGAATAAATACCCTAAGAACTTTTCTTGTAGTTTTTTGTTGTATTAGGTGAATGGCACTGGATACATTAAAGGGGTGCCTAGAATGTAGTTTGAGCCACAAGGAGAACCCATGCCAAAAATAAATTGCATTTCAATTAGAAATTAGGACATTTCAATCTTTGCATAAGTAAAATGCTTTTTCAAGTCTCCAAGCCCACAAGAACCCTGCTGTTGTGAACCATTATGATTTACAGTGGTGCATGTCAAGTTTCTGTGTATGTCAAGTTTACATTTTGTTATTGAAATTCCACTGCATACAGAATCAGCCAAACTGCATTGAAGAGAATCTTTGATTTTGAAAATAGCAAAAAAAGTGTTGTAGGAGCGTGCTGAATAAAGTATCTTGAAATTATAAGGTTTGTTGCAAAATCATATGCCTTACAAATCCAGGTCTCAAGTCTAGAGCTTTTTTCAAATGTTTGTCAACCGAAAACATTGCCCAACAAACCAAGTGTCTTGGTGACTGCATGCTGCATAGCTGTCGGGTTTATCATTTTACCTAATTAGTTATACACCAATTTGACTTACGGCCTCGTTTTGAAAATTTCTTCTAACCTAATTATACGACTTTTTAAAGCTCAAATTTGGTTTTATCACCATAATTTTAGGCCGGATACAATTTTTCATATTGTTTGTGCTTGTATTTTAGATTTTACGGAGAAATGAAGTTTTAAAACTTGTAAGGGATTTGACCGCAAAAATCATTCAGGGGGAAACTTTACCCCCCTAGTCGCCAATCACGGTCAAATCCCTTATAAAATTTTTATCTTTTTGTTGTCATAAAATCAATATCGTGAGCAATACCATAATGAAAACTTCAAAGTATACTAAAATCATTGCTCGCAATCCGAATCTGAGGTCAAAAATTTTGTACAAACTAATTTGAAGAATTTTTTAAAATGAGGCCGTAAGTCGAATTGGTCTATTGTGTTGCCACTTGATTTGTAGCTCTCAATGCCATTTGACTTCTGATTTTTGTTTAATCCTACTACAGGCTGATTTCACGAAGAAACAGTGCCTGGAAAAGTCTGTAATGGCTGAGGATTTTGAATGGCAGAGAATGGAAGAAAATAAAGCATTTGATAACGATTTTTCAAAGTATGCCTAACTTTAATGTAGATATTTTCTATAGTAACCATATTTTTGTACCTTTGTGGTATGTATCCTGATTTTAATCCCAGATCAAATCTTGTCTGACAATATCTATAGGTAATTGAGAAAGATACTATAGACTCATAAAACTTGAG